GCAGGTAAAGGCCAGTTTGTAGTCCAGTCATGAGTGCATGGGATTAATGGATAAAAGGATCAAAGGCAGGCCAGGGGCTGACTTGGAATCTCCTATGTGAGGTTGACTGGTCTGGGTATAAGAGTGGACAGGCTTGGCCCCATCTAGCAGGGGAGACCACGGTGTGGGGCTTTAGGAGCCTGCTCACATTTGAACTTTTTTTCCATATCCTGAAAGTTCCTTCCTTTGGACTGTAGGATCCCAGGCCTCCAGGGAGCACTTTGTAGAGAGACAGCTTGATCTTCATTCCAGATTTGAAGCCAAGAGCCCCTGCAACCCCTCCTCTAACAGGGCCTCTTTTCCTACACATACCTCTGACCAAGCCTGTCCAGTCAGATCCCAGGGCTCGCCACAAGTGATTCTCATGGGAATTCAGAAAGCACTTTAGTTAGAGACAAGAAAGGACTTCCAAGAAGTCAGAAAGACAGCTAGACCTGCTGGGAGCTAGGAAGCCTGGTGTAGGCAATTCCAAATCCTTGTTCCTTCTCACAAATACACCATTCAGCTTGGGTGACACAAGCGATTTCTGGGCCTGGGAGGGAGAAGGTGATCCTCAAGCAAGGAGAATTCCCCCTAAAGAGCATCACTAGCACCATCTGCCCCCTCTCCCAGCCCCAGCTCAGAACCACCCTTGGCTCTCTGATTAGAACCTGGTTTCTGTCCAGGCATTGTCTGCTTTCCACAGCTGGCTGCCCATTGAGGTCTGGTGAGTGCCGAGCTGGACATCAAGAGCCAAGAGGGGAGGATTGGGCAGGGCTCTCACCGTCCCAGAGCTCCTGAAAAGCTGACTCTTCATGCTCAGTTTCCCTATGATTTCATTAAACCAGCCACTCAACTGGGAAGAGCATCCTGAGGATGTGGGTGCAGAGGTCAGACATCATCCCTTCTCTGTGGAAAGGGCTCTAGGAACCTCCTGATGGTGGTAGAGGGAAGGCAACACCAGCTTTTTCTCACTCTCTACGCAGGTGCCCATTGTCTCAAGGCTTCTGAAATGAGAGCCCCACATTTTACCGTGCCCAGCCCAGACTGGGGTGTTTGAGCAGAGGAGGGAGGCTTTGTTTGGTTCTCCCCTACAAGATGGAGTTTAAAGGAAAGCCCCCATGGATAGGACACCCCAACTCTTGCCTTCTCAGCCCTGGTTCATCCTGGTTGGGGGGTTAGAGCTTCATTTCCTTTGATGGTGGCTCGGCTTCACCCCATATGCTGTAGATGCCACCCTGGCCATGCACCTCCCTCGACCTCCAAGGGCTCCTGCTGCAATGTCAGCCCCACTAGCAGCTTGGCCCCGCCCCACCAGCCCACCAGGCACCTGCGGGGCTCCTTTGTCTCAGGCTGTTCAGTGCCAGGAAGAGTGTGGAAGTGATGCTCTGAGTGCTGTGAGGGGAGGGGTGCCCGAGTAGGGGCCCTCAATCTCCCCCCCAACCCTCAAGCCATTCTAAGTCTCAGTGCCTTCTCTCTGAGCTACCAGGTGGCTGGGGGCAACCCTGGGGCAGGAGGGGAGACCTATTCCATCAGTATCTCTGCTCTGTCTAGAAGCAACTCCCAGGGCCCCTAGAATCTGGGTCACCTCTCACCCTGGGATCTGGATACCTGTCTCAGAGACCCACCTTAGACTTGGACCACTACCCTCCCCCATCATTGAAGCCTAGAGCAAGGATCGATGCTCCTGTCCACATCCCTCCCTTGATGACTAGCTCATATGCCCTTCTCAAAGAGAAAAACCCCAAGCTAAAGCAGGAGAGATGGTGTGAAGCATCTCCACGCAGCACAAAGAACATAAATGGTTCAACTTTGCAGTATTTCCTGTCACTGTACCTCTGTGTGCCCCTCCCAAAAGAACCAGCTCAGCCATGTCCTCTCTCCTCCTAATGTCTGTCAGATCACTTCCAGTCCCGCAGCTGTTGGAAAAGGGACCCTGGATGAATCTATGGGTCCCTCTCCCTTGCTCAATTTTACCTGTGTGCCTGCGAATGTAGCATCAGCATCGCCCGCTTCCACCCTAGGGGTTATCCCCTCAGATACACCTCTTCCTCCCTCCCCTAGCCCCATCTTCTCTTGGGGGCAGAACCAGCAGGGTTCTCTCCAAAGGCCGTTGGCACTCCATGGAAGGCCGAGGCATCATTCCAGCCCTTTCATGGGTCCCACAACCGATCTTTGTCTGTAGAACCCGCTCCCAGGATGGTAAGCTGGATCAAGAGCACAGAACTAGCTGACTGGCGGAGATGAGGGGGAAAAATTCACCTCCGGTACCCCAAGATGAGACAGCAGCCTTGTGGGGCGGCGAAGAGGAAACACAGACGCTCCCGCCTCGGCCAGGGCTGGGTGTGAAATACCGGATTTCCTTGTTTATTCGATTTTCTGATCATTAAGGGCTCCCAAGAGGGGCTCGAAATTGCCACCCAAACAAAGCCACCTTCCAGCAGTCAGAGGGCCGCGCTCCCCAGCCGCAGCTGGGCCAGCGCGCGGCGCTCTCCAACCCGGCTCCTCCTCCTGGACTGCGGGCTCCAGCTCAAGCTGTGCCCCCCGCCCCGAGCCCACGCGAGACAAAGCCCGAGCCCCTCCTCGCTCGCCCCTTCCCCGCCATCCGTCCTTACCTGACGGCCACCTTGACGCAGCAGTCTCCCTGGCCAGCCATGGTCCTCCGGACTGGAGTCTGGGCGTGGATCAGGGGTGGGGGTCCGGGGGCCAATGCTCCAGGCAGCGACTGTGGCTGCGGGAGGCGGGGGCGCGGACACTGCTAGCGAAAGCGACAGCACAGGCTGGAGGTGACATGCTCGCAGGCGACAGGCAGAGGGGCTCACCCGCGGCCGGCCCCACCGGGCAGGTCCCGCGCTCGTCCTCCGGCCATCGGGCGGCTGCGCCGCACTAGCTGACAGCGGGCGGTGCGACCCGCAGCTCCCCACCGCGCGGCACACGCGCGCACACACCTCCCACCCTGGCCGCCGCCTCCCGCCGCAGCGCGAACAAAGGGGGCGGAGGCCGAGCTGGCCCAGGACCCACCCCCAGCCCCTCGGAGCTGCGTAGGGCTCCGCCCCGCCCTGGATCCTCCAATCGAAGGCCCCAACAAGCAGCAGGGGCGGGCCTTGCTCCTTTAAAGGGCCCTCTTGGCTCCGGTCCACGGGGTTGCCCGGGCCGATAGGGTTGGGGGGCTTGGGGGTAGGAGCCGGCTGGACTCCCCGGGAAGTTGACCTCGCTGGAACTGCGGCGCTCGAAGTCGCAGAACCTCAGCCTCAATGGACCTTTCTTTCTGAAATGAGGAACGGGACTTAAAGAGGGAACAGTCCAAGGTCATACAGAGAATTTGTGGCTAGACTTGGTGAAGAACCCTGGCCTCTGGACTGTGCGCTACCTCTGAGCAGCTCACAGCGATAAGCAGTTTTCAGTTTGAAAAACCCAGCATTTATTCCCGTAACTTCGCCAACCTCTACTGAAGGGGATTATTGTTAATGTCTAAGTAAATTCCCCCCACCTCCACCCGGCAGCATGTCTTTGACTTGACTGCTGACGAGTGCAGTTCCTCCCTACTAGCTAGATCAGGGGCCCATTGACCTTTATGACCCACAGATGACCCACTGGGCCTGGTTCACACTCTGCTTTGTGGCGGTGGGGGCAGAGGGTCAATGTGGGAGGCCAGAGCTGCCGGAGAAGACCAGGGAACAAAGGATCACTCAACTTCAGACACCTGGGAGAAGCTGGATGGCAAAATGGGTGGGAAGGAAGAAACAGACCAGCAGCTGCCATCAGGAATGGTTATAAAGGACGGTAGGGCGGGGTGGGGTGGGGG